GTGCTCCCTTTGGTGACACCTGGGGAGTTTTGCTGAATTGGTGCTGGGTTTAAAAAGGCCAGGATGACACCCGTTCGTATGTTAAGTGAAGCCACTTTGCTTCTTTTAATGCCTTCCTTGCAGATGGAAATCCAATGTTTCCTCAAGACAGTTGCCTAAAAGGAGACCTTTGAACTGACCTTTAGCCAGTTGTTGTTTTTTCCAGGACATATCAGAAAGAAGAAGACAGAAAGGAGCAAATGGGTATTGTAGAAAAGAGCCAGGAGCTTGGCATCCTTCCTTTAGCAAAATATTTGAAGACAATACCTAGTTTTGGCTCTTGGGTTTTTTTGTTCTTGTTCTTTTTCAAAGGCTTGCTTATTGGAGACATACCTGGCCTTTGGTGTTACTGTTACCTATTCATTTGCAAGGTAAAGGTGTAAAATTGTCTTTCCTGCAGTGAATAGAAAGCATCATTGCAGACAGACTCTGCCCACTGCCAGGAGTTTGATCCCGACTGGCTCAAGATTGACTCGGCCTTCCATCCTTCCAAGGTGGGTAAAATGAGGTTGTTGGGAGCAACATGCTGACTCTGTAAACCACTTAGACAGTGCTCTATAGCATTGTGAAGTGGTATATAAGTCTTAAGTGCTATTGCTATTAATCCCCCAGGTACAAAGCTATGCTTCCTAGCACACCTGCCCCAGAATGAAAGGGCAAGAAAAAATGAAAGGGAAGAAAGGAGCATTTTTCTCTTTATTGAAACCAATATTTACCTGCTTGCGAGCACTGGGCGGAAACCTTTCCTGACTAGGCTAAAGTGGATTTCTGTAAATTTGTCACTGAACACATTCTAGTAACCCTGCTAACAGCCTCCAGCAAGCAGTCCACCCATTGTGGCAGGAATAGTTCTGCAGCCACAAGGACCACACTTTCCCCTTTTGGAATTGAATTGAATTAACTTGAATTTTATCTTCAATACCAAGCTGTGTAATGTTATTGTCCCAGTCCAAGATTACACCTAATATACTTAATAATATATCTTATCAGAAAAACAAAATAGGTGAGTCCTTGTTGGGTTACAAAACTGCACATAAGAGAAACCAGGATTAGCAATAGTTTTTAATGAACCCTCCCCAAAACAAAACAAACAGTTAAGAATTGTAAAATGCAAATAGTTTCTTTTCAAACTTTCATTGTTTCACTGTCCTGAACAAGCCATGTTATCTTCATATTGTAACTCATGAAAAATATATTTTGAATTAAATATTACAGCATTGTTTAAATAATGGGTAACCCTCCCAACCATCAAAACTATGTACAAACCAAAAGAAATAATTTATAACATAATATTGGTTATATATCCATTATATCTATAATAGCTACTTTAAACACTAATTCAATGCACAAATTCTCAAATCCAGTTTTTTGGAATCGTTATCTTATGCAAAGTAAAGGAACTGTTCAAATAAAAATACAACTCAAAAGACTATCAAAAGTTCTAAATTCCTGAAGATGGGATTTATATCTCCGCTCCGAGACTGAGTTCAGTAAAAATAGACTTCTGACGCTTGTATTTAGTATCCATTTGGCTTCAATAGGGTTTTTTGAAGTTCTGAGACCTGTTGTCCTGCCTCATGTATCATGACTGAAGTGCTATAAAGAGTTCATATCAGGGAAGAGATGTATGGAATTCAGTTATCGGTTTCACTGTCATGCAGGAGAGTCCTAAGCGACCAAGTCCTCAGTCCAACATCCATTGGTGGCTTGGTGATTATAACACTGCCCTACATTTCAGGACTATCACAAAAAACATGAAACCCAAAATGTTTGGCTTTCTAAGTCCATTCCTATGCAGATCTTTGGATGTTGGCAAAATCCAAAGCCTCGTTAGATGGCCTAACGAGATGGGAGTTTCCTTGTTTCCCAACTTTTTCCTGTGTGTGTGGTTTGTGATTTACCTCATGATGTTCCTGTTGTGTCGATTTACCTGACGATGCTCCTGTTTGTCTCCTGTAAATATATTTACATAAAACTGCAAATTTGTGTCAATGTCTCTGACTCCATTTGGACACCGGCTGCGCAATTCCCTGACAAACCTGATCAGAGGACATATTTGGATGGAGACCATAGCACACCACACCAGGGAGGGGGTTAAGCTTCACCTACAAAGGCTCTTGGCTGCCAATTCACGGCCTGCCCACCTCATGTTCCATTCCATACATGGGCGTGTCACCGGAGCAGGTGTATCCCTTAAGTAGCCCAACTAAAACTGAAAAGCTACCCACCCAAAGCACCAACTGAGCTCTGTCCTCATGAAGCCAATGCTACAGATACAGAGATGAGGATGGATTAGAATGTCTATTGAACAGTACACCAACTGGATCTCATCTTTTGAGATGGGAAAACCCAAAAGGTTAAAGGAACCTGCACATGTTGTGGTCCAAGGGAACCAGGAGTGCAACTCAACCGGAATTCACAATAGCCCCGTAGTTTGTGACAAGGGATGGATGAGGAGAGCATAGGTGGCAGAAGAACCGATGCCTCTGTTCCCACCTGAGCACAAACATCAGCCACTTGTTCGATCAGGCCAAAATTAAAACAATAGTTTTTGAATACTCTTACCCAATATTAGGAGTACAGTCTAGTCAGTACAGATGTTGTGGGTGCTCCATCACTGGAGGCTTTTAAGAAGAGATAGGACAGAGTGGTATAGGGCAGAGGTCTCCAATCTTAGTAACTTTAAGACGTGTGGACTTCAATTCCCAGAATTCTCCAGCCAGGATGATTGGGGAATTCTGGGAGTTGAAGTCCGTAGGTCTTAAAGTTTCCAAGATTGGATACTCTTGGTATAGGGTATCAAGGAAAGGGCAGGACTAGAAGATATCGAAGGTCCCTTGCAACCTCATTATTATTCTATGTTCTATGTTCCGTATTGTATATAATATTCTATATTATTCTATATCGTGCGCATCATGAAAAGGTGCAGGGGTTAGAATGCAGTATTGCAAGCTAATTTTGCCAACTGTCAGCAATTCAATCCTGACTGCTCAAGGTCGACTCAGCCTTCTGTCCTTC